TTCTGACCAGTTAATCAGTTTTGAACACCCCTACTCATAGTAATAAACTTAGTTTGGTCTCATCATTATGACTATAAAGAGGTTTTATTATATATATAATTCTAAAATTTATCCTTGGGCCTATATTGAGTTAAGAACATAGATTTTATTATAGTAATATATGTGTTATGGTATTTATAATGATAAAATTTTATCAAAATTAAATGAGATATTTAAAACAAATTGCACATGATTTTGAGTTTTACACAAAAGTATACAGGTATAAATTGGACACACTACTTAAGGTAATCACTAGAGATGGGCATGAGGTGGGGCAAGGTCAAGAGTCCAATTCCCTATCCTTGCCCTCTAAGGGGACAGGGAATCCTCATCCCCACCCTTTCCCACCCCGGACAACGGGGAAAAATCCTCATAGTGTGAGGAAAAATCCTCATAGGGATTTTTCCTGCACTACAGGGAGAAATTTTTCAAAAACCCTAAATCTAACTCTGTCAAAGCCATCCCCATCGCACCCACTCTTTACCACCACTCTTCACCACCACACCCAGTTTCATTTTAACACTGCATCCACTCTTCACCACCGCACCCAATCTTTTTCAAACTCATAACAAATCAGTTTTTATTCATAAAACCCAAACTTATAACAAATCAAATTTTATGGAATTCAACACTAAAAAAAAAAAAATGGTTGTTCTGTTGATATTTTGCCAGAATCCGGCCAAGTGGTGGTCAAATCGTGGCCACCTTATCTGGCTCTGTAGTCAACTAGATCGAGCAACCATGAACTAGCCACCGCTTGGCTAGATTTGAGTGCCAAACGGCGGCACCTAGAGGGTATGAATAGGGAGGAGGAAAGAAAAGAAAGGAAGATAAAGAGAAGAAAAGAGGAGAAGAAAGGGAGGGACAAGAGAAAGGTGGAGAAAAGAGAGAAGAAAAAAATAAAAGGAGGATAATTAGCATGGTGGGGTAGGTAGATCTCTATCCCCGTCCTTGCCTCATCCTTGGGGATAAGGAATTTTCTGGTCCTTGTCCCCCATTTTTTCGAGGAATCTCCATCCCGTTTGGGGAGGAGTGAGGCGGGTCCCCAACAAGACGAGGAAAAGGCCCATTCTATTCACAACTAGAGGTGGAACAAATGAGTCGGGTTAGACGGGTCAACCCTTACCCGGCCCCCATCAAGCCAGGTTCAACTCGGACCTCCTAAGAGAACCCGACCCACATATACCCCATCGGGTGGGCTGGGTCTTCATAGACATCCCGACTGGTGGCTCGGCGAGTTGTATATTTTTTTTTTTTTTTAAAAAAAAACCCATCCAACCCGCCGAGTTGGACCTAAAAAATTAATATTTTTTTTTGCAAATATCCCTTTTACCCTTGAAATACAGTCGTTTTATAGCAGTTGGAGGTGTCTTTTTGGTCATTTTCTTTTCCCTTTTTTCTATAAAGAGGGCCTAAACTCTCATATTTTCTCACATCCCAAATTCTCTCATTTTCTCTATTGAAATCTCTCAATTATTCTCTTTGTTGTCGATTTGCTCTCATTTTAATTTTTATTAGTTTTTGCAATTTTCAATTCATATTTCCAAATTCCAATTCTCCTTTAATTTTTTATTTCTTCTATATCCATTTTGTTTTTTAACTACAATGGATAGATATTTCCATCCTATCAATTTTGATGATGAAGGAAATTATCCTAGTCCCCCTGAATTTACTAATGTAAATGCAGTAGATTCAAATTGTCCCGCTTTTCCATTCTTAGAATCCGATACACCTCATAATATTCCCTCCCTTCCTCCCCATGCTGCTACAGCTCCCGGTGGTTCTAGAAGTCGTCCTCGTAATCGCCGTCCTCGTCCAACTCCATCTCAAGCAGAAGCGGGTTCATCAACTACAGTCGAAACCGACGATAAGCGCACATCAGACGTTTGGGTGCATATCGATAAGTTTTACGAGACAAAAAATGGAGTTCACATGAAGAAAGCAAGATGCAAGTATTTTGGAAATATATATAACGCTGATGCAGGTAATGGTACTAGTACTTTAAAAAGACATGCTAATAAATATATTACTCAACATAAGAATATAGAAACTAATCAAACTCAAATAACTAATATGAGTACTACTTGGCATTATAATTCTGATGTATATAGGGAACAATTAGCTTTATATATTGCTGCAACTGATCAACCTATTAATATGGTTGAAGATAAATATTTTGAAAGATTTATTAAAAATTCATTTTTCCAGGATTTAAAAGTTATTCTAAAACTGCAACTATAAATGATTTAATAAAATTGTTTGGGAAAATGAAATTAGAATTAAAAAATAAAATACATAGTTATCATGTTAGTGTGGCATTAACCGCCGATATTTGGAGTGGTAGCGCTAAACAAGATTATATTTGTGTGACTAATCATTATTTTGATAACGAATGTAAATTAAATAAATCTTTATTGGGATTTAGATTAATGGATGTGGATCATAGTGGTCAACAAATTTATAATAAAATTGTTGAAGTTTTAGAAGATTATGATGTTGTTCATAAAGTGATAAGTTTCACTTTAGATAATACAAGTGCTAATAGTAGAGCTATTGCTAATAGTGAAGCTATAGATTTTTTAAAAAATAAAATTTCCTTTTTATGACAATTTGAAATTTTTTCACCAACGCTGTGTATGTCACATTATTAATTTAATTGTGAAAAGTGGTATGAAAAAAATTAGAAATAATATTAATAGAATTAGAGATTCTTTAGCTTGGATTACTAGTAGTAATAGAAGAAATGTTGAATTTCAAGATGCTTATATAAAATCAAGTATGTCTCCTATAACTTTTGCATTAGACATGCCTGTTAGATGGAATATTACTTATTTAATGCTTGATTTATGTTTACCTTATGCAAATTTAATTAGTTATTTTGTAGCAAATAATATAGGTCTTTATTATTTGGTAGACAGTGATTGGCGTATAGCTCAAAAATTCCATTATGTTCTTAAAATTTTTTATCAATCCACTTTACAACTTTTTGGTGTGTATTATCCTACTAGTCCATTGATAATACATACAATTATAAAAATTTCAGATTTATTTAAAAAAAAAAACAGAAACAATGAAATTTTAGCGGGCCAATAGAAGCAATGGAATTAAAATTTAAAAAATATTGGAAACTCATTCCTTTTATTTATTGTTTAGCTACCATATTTGATCCTAGAATTAAATTAGCGCGTTTAGAAAATAGTTTAGACACGTTAAGTGAAAATTTACAAGACGAAGCATATGTCAATCAACTAGGAGAGATAGGAAAGTGTCTTGCAGAGGTATATTTGCAATATAAAAACAGGTAGAGGAACCAACGAAGAAGCGAAATACCCGAGGAAGTAGCATCAGAAGAAACAAATGAAGACTTCGACTGTTGGAGTGCACTTAATAGGCCGAAGAGGACCTGAACCCGAAGCACAGCCTCCTCTTCAAAAGCATCAACAACGAATGTACTGTCCTCCATGCAGCTACAGAGTAATGAGCTTCACCAATATTTGGGAATCCCCGACGTGCTACCAGCAGATCCACAACAAAGAGCCAACTTTGATGTCTTAGAATATTGGAAAACCAGAAAATGTATTTTTCTGGTATTATCAAGACTTGCCCTGGATGTTTCTTTGTTCCTGTCTCAACCGTCTCATCCGAACAAACATTTAGTGCGAGTGGAAGAATTTTAAATGAAAGGAAGACTAAACTTTCACAAAAAATGATTGAAGTCCTCACATGTCTTCGAGATCAGAATGGTCGCACCATCAGGATCAATACGAGATTGTCGATGATACTTTAATAGAATTATTTTAATTTTATAATATAGATGATACGGATGAGGGAGGTCCTAGTCAACCCCCAAATTAGTTGTTTTGTAAATTATAACTTTGTAACTTGTAAATTAATTGTCAATTATTGCACTCTTTTTTCCTTACCAAGTTTTTGTCCCAATTGGGTTTTTCTTGGTAAGATTTTTAATGAGGCAATAATTGTTGTATTTTCTTATTTCTTATTTTATTTTTTGATAAATGAATAAATCTAATTTTTCTTATATTACAATTTAATTGAATTAATATTTAAAATGTTAACAAAAAAAATTAATTTAATTGAATTATTGATATTTGAAAAATTAGCTAAAAACAATTACATAAAAGAGAAAAAAAATTAAAAATTAAAAAAAATTCGGGCTAGCCCGACCTGCACCAAAACCCGCTAGGTTAGGGTTGACGGGCCAGGCTGGGCCAGCCCTTCTAGCCAAGAGACGGGCCTAACCCAGCCCGGCCTAACCCAGCCCACCCTAACCCGACCCACCTTTTTGTATAACCCGCCATGGGCCGGACAGGTTATTTTTCCACCACTATTCCTAACTCGACCCACCTTTTTGCATAACCCGCCATGGGCCGGGCAGGTTATTTTTCCACCACTATTCACAACCTAGTATCCTCAACCCTGGAGTCTTCTAAAAATGGAGGCATTCATTTCTGCCGTCATATAGTGAATAGATTATTTACGCGAGTTGACATTGGTTTAATAAATGAACTTATTTAATCACGTAATATTTTTTATTCCTCTGTGGTTCCAATACTATGCAATATAACCCTGTAAAATATTTTTCAATCCCTCTATATTTGCAGTTCTGGTACTGACACCAGAATTGTTTTTTTTTTTTTAATTACAAATATACCCTTATACTCAATACAACCATTGGATCTTATAATACTTAAATTTTTATTCTCTGGAAATATGATCTTATAAATATATAAAATTTCATAATGTCTTGACATATATAAAAACTGTAAGAAGAAAATGTTTAGAAACATGAAAATATTGTACAAAACTCTTGACAGTTTTTAAGAACTTCCTTCCTGCTCATCCTGCGCAGCCTTCATGTTGGCCTCCTTGCGAGGGGTCGTCAACTCAATTCTTAAGAAGAAATTTCATAAAATCATTCTTCTGTACATTAAAAAGATATTAAGATAGTTTGAATGGAGAAAGATACCCTTCCTTAAAAAAGAAAATAATAAAAAATAAAATAAATAGTCATCATTATTTATTATTTACTGTTTGGATGTTTAAACTTACAATGACATTTATCAGAGAGCAATTAGTGTCATTAAAGAGATATAGATATTCAAAGCTAATAGAAAAACCAGCAGCACTTGCTGTGGAAGGCTGTGTCCTGTTTCAACTAATGAAATGTTCATCTTCTTTTAGCCAAACTCATACTGGTTTATTTTATAAAGCACTGCCCAATTTGTATTATACCTTTCTCCTCTTCATTTTCATTGCGCACATATCTAATATTGCTTTGCTTCCTCCTGCTCAACCCAATACGCAATGCCCAATGCCCAATTTGTATCACATCTTTCCTTCGTTTTCATGGCAAGCATTGCAGCCATAAACAAGATTCATCAAGCCTTTTAGTGTGATACTGTTAGGATTCCACGTTAGAAGGAAAAAAGGTAGACATGTGAGTTCTAAAGGGCTTAGGCACCCTTCCCTAGCAAACCAGTTTTCCAATGAGAGTTCTACCCAAGCCCACAAAAGGACCACTGTCCAACCCAATTCCTATCAAAGGCCCATTGCTCAACCTAATTCTTATCGATTTGGGAGTATGTTCCTATCAATTGGTATCAGAGCATAATCTTACGTCTACATAACAAGGCCTGAGCTGCTATCCCGAGAAAGGGCATGGAGGCCTAAAAGAAAGGGGATTTGCGTGGTCACCCAAAAGGTAAAGAGGCCCGAAGAAAAGGGGATCCGCATAGTCACCTAAAGGGTAAAGAGGCCCAAGGAAAAGGAGATCCGCGTAGTCACCCAAGGGGTAAAGAAACTGACGTAGATGTTGGTTGCGGAAGCGTGGTGGTATGTTAGGATCTCACATTTGAAGGGAAAATGGTGGGCATGTGGGTTATAAAGGGCTTGGGCACCCTCCCTTGGCAAGTCGGTTTCCAATGAGAGTTCTACCCAAACCCACAAAATGACCACTACCCAACTCAATTCCTATTAAAGGACCACAGCCCAATTCTTATCAAAGGCCCATTGCCTAGCCCAATTCTTATTAATTTGGAAGTGGGTTCCCATCAGGTACTAATTTTTGTAATCCTTGGGAGGGGCTTGAGATCTTTTGTCTAGGCCTTTGTATGATTATTTCTTTTATACGCAAAAAAAGAATATATGTATTCTCCTAATCTAAGGTAACAAAAAAGATGAAGAAATAAAACTCCTCGGCCATCTTAACAAAGATATTTCTTTATCACAAAATTTTAAGAAATCTAGATTGATTTCTCAACATCATCTTTCATAAATTTTAGTACTATGCACAAGATTACTTAAATAAGCACCATTATGCAATCCTATCCCAACAAAGTAGAGGATTAACGCTTACACTTAGGACAAATATGACCATTAGAAGTGAGAGTATAAGGTTCTCCGCAGTTGTAACAGAATGCATGTCCACACCTGCATTCATTTATCCAAGAGACAACAACCATATTTAATTAATAACAATATATGTTTAGACCTGTTAAAAGCAAAGCTGATTCCCATTAACAATCCATAAACACAATAGCATCAATCAATAATTACCAAAGAGGTAACTGAATACATTCAGCTGAGTCACATTGAAATAACACAATACACATGCTAGATTGATTATGAGCAGAATTTAAAAATAAAAAAATAAAAATAAAAAATTGCAACTCAATCATACCAAAGTTTTTGGACCTAAAATCGGATCTGTTCAATCCATTCGCCCAGCAAAAAATTCTGAAAGTTAGATCAGATTTAATTATAGTATAGTCTTTGCCAAAATTATATGTGGCCAGTGTAAAAACATCATGTAAAACTTCACCAGAAGTTCATTCACACAAGTTTATCTACAAATGATCAAGACAAAGTCTGTAGTTAGCCTGAAGTAACAAGCTCCATGGATGAGGATAAGCAAGCCTTAAAAACATTTTAATCCCATGATAACACCACTGGAAAGAAGAGAAAACAGAAAACAGAAAAAATGTCACATGCTCACTGTCAGTTCAAGTAAATTAATAATACCATTTGGCAATAGCAATAAGAAAGAGGGGAAACATGGTAATTATCCTGCATCACATAACTCACTCACTAAGCAAATGGGAAAAGGATATAATCCCTTACTACATAAATTAATGTATAAAGATAGTGATAATAACCACCTGGTCCCATAAATCATGGTTCAAGAATAGACATAGCCGTAATGTGGTGAAAAAGTGGACTGGAATTGGGTATTGTCTATTGATTCCCCCGGGATAAACCTAAATTTCTATCTCAGCAATGCATTATTCTTAATTATGAGATGAAAAGCGCCATAGGACGGGGAGGCAGAGGAGGCAAACCAAAATCAATTTGCATAAAATTATACAATAATTTAACACAATGAAATTGACAACAATTCAAATCAAGTAGAGGCAATGGAAAGTTTATGGAAAATGAAACTGACCTGCACTTCATATGCATGCAACCTGATTTCTTCTCAACGAAGTACTTACAATAAGGACACCTCTTCCACTTCTTTTTCAGTGCCAGCTTCATCAACTTAATGTCTTCACCGCTTCTCTCATCCTTATTCAATTCTTGAAACTCCCTGCACTCAATCCCCGCATGCCAAGGAACTTTACATTGCGCACAAAATTTTCTCCTACAATTCGGACACTTTGTTTCACTTATAACCTCTCCTCCATCGTCAATCAAAAGCGCTGAACAATCTTTGTACGGACAATAAAACTTTTGTGCCTCGAGAATCACAGCCTCACACAAGGCACTTCCCCACCGATCAAAAACATCTTGAGGAAGAATATTTCTACAGTACTCGGGCTCTAACGATCCTCCACAGTCCGGTACTGGACAGGGGATAGAAGTAATGTTTTCTTGCAACTTTGAGGCCACGTATTTGGCCGTGCAGTCCTTACAGTACGCATGAGAGCAACCCTTTATGTTAAATGAGTCATTTGCAGTCCTGGGTTCGACGCAGATCTCACAAATAAACTCCGGGCCATCATCGTTTTGAGAATTTGAAGACTGCCCAGTTTCGGTTACGGAAGGATTTGAAAAGGGTTTTCTTCTTTTAGAAAAACGAGTGTTTAGGGGCTTAAAATTAAGTACATGTAAATCGTCGAAGTCATCGTTGTAGTTGTCGAGATGAATTAAGTTTTGTAGAGTGGTGGTGGTGTCGGTGGTGGGTTTAAAAAGAGAAGCCATGAGAGCATGCTGGAGTTCTTTATCTTCAGTGTAGTGATCAACTGCGATGGCAGTGTCCTTAGTGGTGCCGCCCTTTTGTAGAATGGGCGTTAAAAAGAATTCATCATCTTCAAGATCCACAATCTCAATCGGAAAATTCATCAGCTTCTGTGTCTGCGTCTCAAATTTGAGCCTCTTGAATGATCTTTCTTCGGGCTTCATCATGGACATATAATAAATGTTGGGGCTGCGTCTGATGCTAATGAATTGCGAGTCTGTATAGGTTTAAAGACAGTTGGCGTTCTCTCTGCTCCGAAAAACTACAAAGGGCGATTGAATTGAAATGGAAATTTGGGAGACAATTATTGACATTGACTCCTGCTTTTTATTCGAAAATGCGTTTCTATTACGCTTTACACACTGCGACTAAACTTTCTTGTTACTTTCCATCTTTAATATTATTTTACCATTAAAAATTACATTGGATGATTAAACCAAAATCATTTTTATGTATATTATTTAATTAAAATAAGAATTTCCTACCAAAATACGTTGAGAAATTATAGGGAAAGTATAATAGTGAATTTGTTTAACTAAAGATAGAGATAGAGATAGAGATAGAGATAGGGTGCAGCTTTTCATTGGGTAGTTGTAATGTACATTGTACATGCACTAAACTCTTTCCCAGTTTTTAAGTGATTTCAATTTCTTGTTGCATTACACATCTCGAAAGACTTTCATTTCATCATAGAGTGAAAGAATCGATGATCATTTTATAGTTGAAATCCTTTAAAGAAAGGAGCATATCACAGTTCCCTCTTTCAAAGTAGAATGCCATCAGGTAGATTAATATTCGACCAATTGATTATAAAAAGAGGGTAGCAAGTGTAAATTTTGTTTAAGAAAGAGTAAATATAAAACAAATGAGAAATACCAAGGTTCCATCCAAACAATGGACTGCTGTTTCATCGGCAATCTGTAGTTCAAGAGTTGAATCATGAGTGTCAAAAAGCTCTGTTGGCTAAAACTGCAGGCAAANTTTCTTGTTACTTTCCATCTTTAATATTATTTTGCCATTAAAAATTACATTGGATGATTAAACCAAAATCATTTTTATGTATATTATTTAATTAAAATAAGAATTTCCTACCAAAATACGTTGAGAAATTATAGGGAAAGTATAATAGTGAATTTGTTTAACTAAAGATAGAGATAGAGATAGAGATAGAGATAGGGTGCAGCTTTTCATTGGGTAGTTGTAATGTACATTGTACATGCACTAAACTCTTTCCCAGTTTTTAAGTGATTTCAATTTCTTGTTGCATTACACATCTCGAAAGACTTTCATTTCATCATAGAGTGAAAGAATCGATGATCATTTTATAGTTGAAATCCTTTAAAGAAAGGAGCATATCACAGTTCCCTCTTTCAAGGTAGAATGCCATCAGGTAGATTAATATTCGACCAATTGATTATAAAAAGAGGGTAGCAAGCGTAAATTTTGTTTAAGAAAGAGTAAATATAACACAAATGAGAAATACCAAGGTTCCATCCAAACAATGGACTGCTGTTTCATCGGCAATCTGTAGTTCAAGAGTTGAATCATGAGTGTCAAAAAGCTCTGTTGGCTAAAACTGCAGGCAAAAAGGAGACTATTGCTTATGGGAAGCTTTCACATTTCACCAATTCTTATAGCAAACTTGAGAGTGCAGCAGTTTCAAACATTGGTTAAATACCTTGTTTTGTTTTCGATGAAATACTAATCGTATTTGGGGGATATTGATACTTTGCTTGATGACAGAAGTGTGTTTTGTATTTATGCAAAGGGCTGATTTGTATCACATTTTTATGGTCTTCATTTTCATCTATACTTGTTACACACAACATCTCTAATGTTTCCTCCTCATCGCCCCAATATGGTAAATTTTCTTGTCAAAAAAGAATGTGCCAATTCTGTTTCTTCCTTCTCAACTGCTTGCCAATTGTTTCAACTATCGCCCATAATTCATAAATCATGCATAATATGAATATAGCCAATATAAAAGCTAATTCAAGGTAACAAAGGTGAAGAGAAGAATCTACAAAGGCCACGATGAAAAGAAATTTATACTCCTTTTTTAAGCTATATCTTAATGCTATTTTAATTTGTCTATATCAACTGAGGTAATTACTCTTTCTGTTCACATTAGTTGAAATCTGCCATGTATTTCTCAACAACTAGGAGGGAATCTCTGTATCTTTTTGAAGTAGTCTTAATGCTTACATTTAGAGCACTGATGGGAAGTAGAACTTGACTGAGCTCCACAGTTGTAACAGAATGCATATCCACACCTGTGATTTATCAAAATATAATAAATTAGACTATATGGTTTGTTGTGGTAAAAGTACTGCCAATTTTTCCAGGTTACCCTACTAATAATGCATAAATCTATCAACATTTACCAAATAATTTCATAAATGCCTCCTCGGCATTTTGATGATTCTGTAAAGAAATTCCCTAACTAAAATCAGACAATTTTACCAATGCCGCTTTCATATGCCCCGAAATAACTGGTTTCTCAGAAGAGAGTGAGGACGACATCAAAACCTGTAATGCCAACGTATAACATGTGGAAAGGAGTGAAAAGAAAAAGGGAAGATGATCCTGCATCGCTTGACTAACTAAATGTCTCTGATAAAGACCATTAAAATGCTGATGCCTGCCATGAAACGTGTTGTTTGGATGTGATTTTACAATCCCAAAATAACAATGACGACCCTGACATTGGTTAAAAACATTAATGTAATGGAGATAATGCTGGAATAAAAATACCCAAATGATGAACTTCTTCTTTTCAACAAAACTTATGATTACAACCACACTTCCTAGAAGATTCAGCTGACAGGACTTTTGCATTAACTCACAATTAATAAAGGTTAATATTTATTGGGGATTTTTCTTCCCATTTTAGGAATCTTACTTCTGCATCAAGTCATTAACCCAATAAACAGCCAGCTTCCAAGAATGCAAATTTATGTTGTAAAAACTACGAGCAACTCTTAAAGAATTTAATTGTTCAGAGGAAGGCTTAGAATGTGGAATATATTAACAGTAATATGACAAACAAAGTCTTCCCATTTGTGGCAGAAAAATTGAGCTTTATATGAAAATTTAACACAGAAGAAATATGCAACTAATATATTAATCAAGGATAATAAGCAAACAGATACAACAAAACCCATATGAAGCAACAGAAAATAAACAGACCTGCACTTGATATAATAGCAGCCAGATGATTTTTCCACAAAGAATTTGCAATTAGGGCACCTTCTCCACTTCTTCTTCTTGGCTAGATCAGTGAGCACAGCTTTCTCCCCACGCTTCTGCAATTTCTGAAACTCAGAACAACCAAACTCTGTATGCCAAGGAACCTTGCACTTGACACAAAACAATCTCTGACAAAAAGGACACTGTGATTGCTTAATCCTCTCTCCTTCTTCATTAATCAACATTGCCGAGCAATCTCTATAAGGACAGTAGAATTTCTTGCGATCAACAATCGCAGACTCACAAAGGGCATCACCCCATCTCACAAAAACATTATACGGGAGGATCAAACGGCAGTACTCAAACTCAAGCAGGCCTTCACAGTTTGAAACTGGACAAGTAATATATGTAACGTTGTCGTCAAGCTTAGAAGCTATGTATTTGATCGTGCATAGAGTACAGTAAAAATGAGAACAACCCTTAACGTTGAAGGAATCATGCAGAGGTTTTGAGTCAACACAGATTTCGCAAACAAAAGATGGAGTCTGAGTGTCATCGGTTTCAGAATTTGAAGACTGCCCAGTTTCAAGAACTGTTACATCATCATAATCATCGTATTCATCCGCGAGCTGAGTGTGGTGTGATTTAGGAGTCAAGTAAATTTCTTCATCATCCTGATCGTCTTCTTCCTGTTGTTGCTTGATCTGAAAGGAAGTGAGGTTTGAAGTCTTAGGCTTTTTGTTTAGATTGGTTAAGGAAGTTGCTAGTTTGTTGCCCATACCAACTCTTGAAATTAAAGTTGTGTTTGTTGATATCAATTATTTGTGTTTTGTTTGGAATTGGATGAATGAAAATATTTTATTTTTAAATTACTGCCCTCGTAGAAGTTAATTACTTACTGCTGAAGGTTTTTAAGGCGTTGACGTTTTATTCATAAAGTCTGTGATGCTTCTTTTTATTCTCATTGGAGTATCATCTCGTCCCAAAAATAACAATCCCATCTGGCATTCATGATGTTATTTTTATATTTATAAGCTATATTATATTCACTTTGAAATGAGTAGTACTACACTATTCATTTCAAAATAAATGAATTTCACTTGGGAAATACAGATAAAAGGTCTTGCTCTCTACTCCTATATATAAACCAATAAGGAATGAGAATCATCTCTTAAACAAAGGGATTATATAAAAGATTATGTATTTATCCCATCTAAATTCAACTGGTTACAGTCCTACTGCGATTTTTCAAACGCTACATTTGCAAGCAATCCTCCATAAATTGTTTTGATGTGGACTGTTTGCCAAGACTTCATCAATTTCTTTACACAGTATATGACAATTTAGTCTATTCACTGTATATCTATAAATTGATATAATCAAAAACGTAAAACTTCAAAATTATTGAAACAAATTCAATTAAACAATGAGAATAATGATATCATTATCATATCCCGTTTGTAACTTGTAAGCAATATCATGTCAATATGAAAATTGACTTTATGTGATAATAGATACTGACTGATAACAACTTCTCTTTTCAATTTCAGGAACAAGTGTCCAGCAACTCCAAGCCCAACAGCTTCGTGGAAAATACATGTCAAACTCATTTCAAGCTACATGTGATTCCATGATGGACCACCGAATCCATATATATCATAAATTTGTTCAAATAAAATGCAATTACAAATACCAATTTAATTATGTACATTTAAATAAACTTTTCAACTTCAGACACCCTGTACATTGATCAAATGAAAACTAAAAACATATATGTACCATCATTTGTCTCTCTTTAAACTGTATCTTCCCATCAATTTTCAATCCATAATTTTACTGATTTGATCACATATTGAGTAATTAATTAATTTTCAGGATTCAGCAANCCGAATCCATATATATCATAAATTTGTTCAAATAAAATGCAATTACAAATACCAATTTAATTATGTACATTTAAATAAACTTTTCAACTTCAGACACCCTGTACATTGATCAAATGAAAACTAAAAACATATATGTACCATCATTTGTCTCTCTTTAAACTGTATCTTCCCATCAATTTTCAATCCATAATTTTACTGATTTCATCACATATTGAGTAATTAATTAATTTTCAGGATTCAGCAAGTCTTTTCAGCAGAGAGCCACACCAAGTAGTCATAGGCTTCGCAAGCAGCCGAAACCTAGAACTAACTGCCTAAAATGGAATAAAGATCTTCAAGGGCTCCATACAAAGGCTCAGCAGCTTTGGGCCTGGCCACCATCCCAAGTAGGATGTCGGCAGTAGTAAGATAAGGATCACCATAGAACCGTAGATTTGTATCCATCCTTGTCGCAACAATGTTCCCTTCCAGTGAAACTCCCACAAATGCTCCTATTAGTTTTGCAAACAACATAAGATGTCCGTTAGTCTCAAGATTTTTGACTGCTATAAATAACAATGAGATCAAACTCTACACAGACTACTTATTCTACCTCCTTACCTACTATGACTTTAGTATTCTGAACCATACACCTTGCTTAACCTTCACATTTAACTTCAAGTAAAACAAGCCTATTTTGTTTTACTGTTCTGTTTCCTAATGTGCATTATAATCTAAACAAGACTTTAAACCATCCTGACAATTAGTTATTCTTTCAAAATTACTTTCACCCTTTAGACAAATATTTAAAGAGAAAAAACAATTGTTCTGTCTTTTGTCTTCAAACGATAAAGCAAACAACCGAAAGGAAGCATCATGTGGGCCAGTGATGAGGCAGTGATCACATAAGAGAGAGGAGAAGAAATTTCGTTATGATCAAGCTCATAAATCACAAAATGAATTTTAGAAGATGTTCAGCAAAAATTAGCCCCAATTTGACACATGCTCCTACCAGCAATTACCACAAAAAATGTCTGTGTGGACATTACAATGGCATGACATGCATCCAGCAAAATTGTTGTTGTAACAACTAACAACAAAAACACAACTTCATTTTTGCTTTTCCCTCCATGAGATGAGCCCAGTGCATTGCACCGACACCAAGCATCCCTCATAAAATGTGATACCGTAAATACAAGTATCAACCAAAACTAATTTTTATAAAAGTAACCCAAATTGAATGCACTCTTCCACCAACCATTAATACAAAAATGGCTTTGTGGATGTATGCAGACAGGAAAACAATGCCATGAAATAAATCCAGCAGAATTGTCAAATCAACCAAGAATCCCTCATAAATTATGATTTTGTAAATACAAGTTATCTACCAAAAGCAATTTTATAATCTGCTTACCTAATTGTGGAAAATAATTTCATTATCAAGCCATACAGGAATAGCCCCAATTAAGTTCATTTGACCACTATACACAAAGTTGGAAGGTTTAAAACCAAAGTCTATGCATGACCGTCTTATCAAAAAAGAGATATGAGCAAAAGAATCCCTAATCTCTCATCAAATAATCCCCAAAACACAGCTCTTCAACTTGTGCATGCCAAGTGTCAAGAAACTTGAAACAAATTTACAAAGAACTTTCCAAAAATGCTGTACATTGTGATTGATATCAGAAATTAACAACACCAGAACAAGTTTTATGGCACACTCTCTAAAGAATGCCTGTCTTCAAGTTTTACTAATACCAATCATCATCAAATTTTTATATCGCAAAAGTAAAAGCCAGTAATTCTACATATTAATAAACTTGCCATTAGCAATAAAAATTACCTTTGCTACAACTGTAAGTATAGCACATGCCAGAACCTCTGTCTCCGGCCCGAACATCTGCTTCCAGCACTCTCCCAAACGGCCCTGCCGCAGCACTGCAACCAGCACCAAGAGAAAAATGCATGCGACTACAAAATGTCTTCACAGCTTTTGAATCATGGAGTACAATTATGAAGTCCATGAGTTCACCCCCAATCTGACCAACAGAGAAGGAAAACAATTTAAAACAGAATATATTAATCTCAGTAACATGTAAGAATGCCAAATTTAGTTATAAGGGATAGACAGAATAAATTGACACTGACACAAAAAAAATAACTGACATTTATATTTAAAAAAAATCTGAAAGTGGGTCCTCTTTCTGTTAACAGGAAACATTCAAATACGATGGAATTTTTCCACATTTATTTTTTCAATTTCTTTGGATGTATAAACACTGATCTTAATAATTAAAACAGAAGAACATACTCAAGGAATTTCAACCCACTAGAATATTTACCTGAGCACCCCACCCTAAACCAGCTGAGAATATGGCTGATGGAGCAGACCAGGAGCCATCTGACCTTCTAGCAACAACCAAACCAGTGCCAAGTTTGTAAGAAACTAGCACACCGGCTTTAGCAACCGTTAAGATTGCAAGGCCTTTGGCTCCTTTCAGAACAGCTAAGGGTATTGACCTCTCAGAATTCAATGCAGCAACCTGTCATATCAACAAATATAGGAAAATCTTTAGCAAAAAGATACAAGCGTAAATAGTATTTGTATGCTGAAGCACCAAATCCTGTAACAAGAAAAAAAATGCCACAAAACACAGAACTCTAATGTGGAATTAAGACCCAGAACAAATAATCAATTAGAAGCTACAAAATGAAACCATGATATCTGAGCCCAGTAACAAAACAAGACAATAGTACTATTAAACTTCAATGAAAATCAGAAACTTAACCTGTCGGTAGTTTCTTAATGTATTAGAAGCTTTGTATATCTCATATTCCATTGACAAACCAACTGGAAGGTTAAGCCATCCCCTTGCACATGTCCAATCCACAACATCATGTTTTGCCACTTGCACAGCATTGCTAATAGAGTTAATAAGAATTCCTTGTAAAGGATCAAGTCTATCATAGCAGGCATCACACACCCTCTGAGGATTCCGCTCCCTAAACTTCACAGGTAACAAACACCTCCCCTTAGTGCATGTTCTACAGAAAATCCCTCCACAAAACCGACAATGATGTCTACCAAGCGTGAGCGCTGTAAAAGGAGCAGTGCACTGCATGCACACGGTAGTAGAACTATCAGGAAGCCACTCTGGTGGATCAGCTTCCAAAACCTCTTTGTAAGCACTGTATCTAATCCCATCGGACCCAAGAAGGGGTGGCGCACTCGGTGTGTACACCGAGGAGTGCAAGTATGTATCCCCATTCTTCCCAGATCCAAGAAATGAAACATTTGAACTGGACTCTTGCTGAGTCGTGGAAACACTTGGAGCTTTGTTCCGCCCAGTTATGATTGCAAATATCCCATTCATCACATTTTTCAAGTTCACCTCAGGAGGCATATTATTACTTTGCATAGAGTAACATTGATCCTCACCTGAATCATATCCTTCATGAATAAAGTCTTCAGATTGAAGTGGAAACTGGTATGTATAATCTTTTTTGGAGGATTTTATGCCTGTTGGGTAGGTTTTCTTGTCTTCCAACACATCCCATACAGGTTCTCTATAGTCATCATCCTCATAATGAAATTGACCATTCTCCCTTTTTTCTATCTTAGAAAGCGAAGAATATACAACTCTACCATCATTGGTCTCCATACAGTACACCACATGCAATCAAATGATTAATGGTCAAAACAAAAGCCACACAAGTTTCACTGCAAATTGAAACGGATACCATATCAGTGCTTAAAAAAATTCGAGCAACAAAAATAAAATCATTTACAATTTAAGGAAAACACAATAAAACGAATCAAAAACAACACAGCATGAAACCTAAACCTCCATAAAAAATAATAATAAATAAATAAAAGCATGCCAAAATATGCAATTTCAGTGTAAAAGAAAAAAAATTTGAAGTCAGCCACATTAAGCATCTACAAGGATTACAATTTTCATTTAATTCATTCACGAAGCTGTAACAATATTAATTACATAAGAAAAGGAATGAAAGAGCCAAAATTGGCAAAAAATTAAATTAGGAATAGAACTCACGGTTTAAATTCGCATAGCATGCAATTCTCATAAACGTGTAAACAATTTTCTTCAATAAAACGAAAAGGATAAATATATGATAATTATGATAAGCTGAAGTAAAAATTGTTTCCAATAGGGCATCTAGATTTTACCCTCGTCTAGGATTCTCAACCATATTTTGAGATTTAAATAAATTAAAAAAACAATCACAAGTAATAATTGGACATATAAGGATGATTTTGTATAACCTTTTCGCTGTATATTATGGCGACGGAATTCGAGCTTCGATTTTCAGTCTTGAATTATAAGCCAAAAAAAGACGACAAAGAAGAAGAAGAAGGAAAATTTAATCATCTGGCACACGGAACTCTTTCAATTTTAAAAGACAATAGAAATACAACATCTTGGGCTACCTATCCCAAAATAAAATAAATATTTGGGCTCCCTTGGCCCAGAGTGACTTCTTGGGATTAAACCGGGCCTGGCCCATGGGCTTACAAGGCAATTTTACAAAACGGGATATTATCACAAGAGTTTACTATATTATCAACCGGATGACGGTTAAAGATGTTTAAGAGTTATATTTAGCTATAAAATCACAAAATGAAATGAATAATAAATGTAGTTTTCTATGTACAGTATACTTCTTGTTGAAAAAGTATTTAGCACTACTGTAACTGTTTTATAAAACAAAAAACTTTGTTATACCCGAGAAATAAAGGGTTGACGTGGAGCCACGTGACGAAACGTGGCCTGCTCCCGTCAGAATGGTAAGCGCACGTCAGGCCTGCCAAGCACCCTGGAGCTTCCACGTGTCCGCTTACCTGCTCCAAATCGCATAAAATCAGCTTGGGAAATGGGTAATGGGACGTAAAGCCTGATTATGTTCTGACATTCACACCAACCCAAGGATTTAATGATGATTACACGCATTCAGCTTGGTATAAGAAGAGGAAGACCCCTTCATTAAGGGGATTCGATCATTTGACATTAGAACTCTCTCTCTCTCCAAAAAAGGCTTTGTATTTGCTTTTCAATCATCTGTAAGTCAGTCCGCTTTAGCGACCTGACCCACCATATTAATACAAATCAGTGGATGTAGGATTTGCTACCTTAGCATCCGAACCACTTTAAAAACTCTCATTGCATTCATTCCATATTGATAATTCATATTCACGTGTGTTCCTTGTCCAATCAACGCTACACACGTGTCAATTAGTTAGTGCCCAAAATCACGCATCAACAGTTTGGCGCTAGAAGGAGGGCTGATTTAGCGTTTACCCTTCATCAGGAGAATCTTCGACCTACTGGTCCTACAGCAACAAATGGCCCGCCAATCAGATCCTGAGCAAGCTAATCAGCGTGCTGAAGGAGTCCCCTTGACCCAAGGGGATACCCTCTCCAGGGTACTTCCAGTTCCTCAAAATGTCGCGGGGGATATCCCGGTAGCTTCGCAACTCGACCCCGCCATTAGAAGCTACTTGGAGAGGTTCGATAATACTCTCCAAACGGTCAACCAGAGATTAGATCGTTTGGACCAAGGCATGTCATCTACAACAACTGGGGCGGTGCAACCGCCAAAGACGCCTGCAGGTCGCGCGAAAGCGCAGCAAAGGGCAGTAGCCCGTGCCGCGAGCACTGCAGCGCGTAGACGTAAGGGAAAGCAGGTGGCAAAAGGTAAGCCTACGGGCTCCCAAGGACCAGCGAGCGCAAATCGCGCCCCGAGCAGGGTGCCGGCGAAGCTGAGACTCGCGAAAAAGTAAATCCCGAGCTGTCCCATGCCACGTCGCAAGCGAACCCAAGCAAAAATGCCAGGCGCGATGATTCATATCACCACCAACAGAATGATCCCGATCGTTATGCGGGTGGCCCCCACACCTCGCGGGGCGGTTCGTACCACCGCGAGGGTCGTGAAAACGCTCCGCGTAATCCATCGCCTTCACACGCCTCTAGCCAGCATGTGTCGAGTGCGGCCGAAAATGCCGGCCGAGGCGAGGAGGAATCCGACCTCCGGACTTTCCTGAACCGTAATCGCGAAGGCCGGACTCGCATGGATGAAAGCAACCCCCAATTGGGCCCGTTACCGCAAATTGAGGAGCTATAGCGAGCTCTGGATAGGTTAAGGGAGCAGCAAAACGAACAGGCCCAAGTCGCCTCTGCATCCCCATTCTCTCCCGAAGTGCTAGCTGCTCCACTCCCACCAGGGTTCAGAATGCCCGACATGCGACCATTTGATGGGAACCATGACCCGCAGGATCATTTGTACGAGTTCAACGATCTGATGAAGCTCTACCAGGTTTCAGACCTTGCAAAATACCGCTGTTTGGCTGTGACGCTCACTTCTCACGCCAAGCGTTGGTTAAGGTCGCTCGCAGCGGGATCAATCAGTTCGTGGCCTCAGATGAGCACGACGTTCTTATGGCATTTCCAAGCCAATCGAAAATTTTCGATGCCTTTGAGCTATCTCAGCAACATAAGGCAAGAAAGAGACGAATCCCTGCAATCCTACATCGACCGTTTCCACAGGGAGCTGAACAAAGTGGCTCACGCTCTAGAAGAGTCCATCCGAACACTTATAATGGCTGGAGTTTGTCCGCAAACCGACCTGTGGAAAGAACTGCAGGCTGAGGACGATGTTTCTCTCACCAGATTTTACAGTCTTGCAGAAAAGTATCTCCGAATAGAAAATTCATTGGCGGCACTCCGCCGCCGCGATCAAGGTGCTCCGAGCGATATGTCTGGTCAGGGAGAGAGTAGGAGAGCTGACCGCAAAGGAGACATTGATGATCAACGAAAAGGGAAGAAACTCCGCTACGAGCACAAAAAGTCCTATGCTCCTGTTCCTCATCGCGACAGGGACAGACCTCAATACACTCCGCTGAACGTGTCCATATCTGTGATCCTTGACAAATCCGAGGAGGCCAGCCTGCTCGGTAAGCCAAAACCAATGAAAACTCCTGCTACGGTCAGAAATATCAAAAAATACTGCCGTTACCATCGGGATAACGGGCATCACACTGATGAATGCCGAGCCCTAAAGCAGGCAATCGAAGAGCTCATTAAAAAGGGGCACTTCAAGGAGTATATTGATGACTCCCCAAAGGAGAGCCAAGGGGAGCAAAAGAAAAAGCGTCGTGATCGCAGCGGATACAGTAGCGTTAATATAATTTTCGGAGGTCCGCACCTCGCTGGGAACACGCGAGGAGCGCAAGAAAGGTATGCTCGTGAAGCATATCACGACCCGATCAGAGTAATGAATACTTCGCAGCGACCACAAAAGGCTCGAAAGGAGGAGCCGATCACCTTCTACGAAAGGGAAGTAGCTCGCTTGCACCATCCTCACGAGGATGCCCTGGTGATCACGCCCCTGATAGGATGTCATAATGTCTGCAGAATGCTTGTGGACAACGGAAGTGTTGTGAACATCCTGTTCAAGACTGCTTTCGATAGAATGAACTTAGACGAGGTCGACCTAAAGCCCGCCTCGATGCCTCTCTACGGTTTTACATGGGATCACCTGATCCCCATAGGAACTATCCAGCTTCCAGTCATGCTCGGCGACTACGAAGAGGTGACTAGGGTTACCGAATTTCTGGTCGTGGACTGCCCATCGGCCTTTAATGGAATCTTGGGGCGACCTCTGTTGAGAAGCTTCAAGGCAGTCACTTCCATTTATCACCTCAAGATGAAGTTCCCCACTCCAACAGGGATAGGGGAGGTAAGTGGATCCCAAAGCGCATCTCGCGAATGCTATATAAAAGCGGTATAGATGGCAGATAAAGGAAAGGGCATTTCGCGATGTGTGCCTCGCCAGGTTATGACGATCAGTCGGATCGAACCACAGCCTGGACCAGCGGAGGATAACATAGATCCGCGAGTCTAGGAAATCCCTCCTAGTGGCCCGGTTGAGGATCTGACCAAAGTTTCGGTTGATCCAAAGGAGCCGAGCCGAGTATTAAAGATTGGGAGCTGTCTCAACCCTCAGCTCGCTTCCGAGCTGATAGACTTCTTAAAGGAAAACATTGACGTGTTTGCCTGGTCGCATGCAGATATGGTTGGGATCAGCCCGGATATTATTTGCCATTCGTTAAACATTAACAGTGAGGCCAGACCGGTTCACCAGAAAAGAAGAGCGATGGATCCAAAGCGGTACGCCGCACTAAAATCGGAAGTGGAAAACCTCCTCCGAAATGGGTCCATCCGAGAGGCACTTCATCCAACCTGGGTCGCTAACCCGGTCTTGGTAAAGAAGCCAAACGGCAAGTGGCCGACCTGCGTCGACTTCAGCGACCTCAACAAGGCTTGCCCGAAAGACAGCTTCCCTCTGCCGAGGATCGACAAGATCGTTGATGCCACCTCAGGGCACGAGCTGCTGAGCTTTATGGATGTGTATTCGGGATACAATCAAATCCCAATGTATGGGCTGGATGAGGAGCATACGTCCTTCATTACGGACCGGGGGCTATACTGTTACAAAGTTATGCCTTTCAGTCTCAAGAATGCGGGCGCGACGTATCAGAGGTTGGTCAACCGAATGTTCTCCGACCAGATCAAGAAGACATTGGAAGTATATGTGGACAATATGCTGGTCAAACCCCAGGTCGCTTCCGGACACATTGCACGTCTCGCTGAGATGTTTGACATTCTCCGACTCTATAGAATGAAGCTAAACCCTCTCAAGTGTTCGTTCAGAGTGTCATCGGGAAAGTTCCTGGGGTTTATGGTTAATCAGCGGGGCATAGAAATAAACCCCGAGAAGATTCAAGCCCTACTCGACATGGAGAGCCCGACCAGCAAGAAGCAGGTCATGAGTCTAAATGGGCGGATAGCGGTACTTTGTCGCTTCATATCAAGGCTAACCGACCGCTGTTTACCATTCTTCAATGTTCTAAAGGCGAACAAGAAATTCGAATGGACTCCCGAATGCGAACAAGCATTCCAGAGTATAAAAGAACACCTAGGGAAGCCACCTCTCCTCTCTAAGCCTCTTCCACAGGAAATCCTGTCCGTCTCTCAGTTCGCGGTCAGTGCAGCTTTAGTGCGGGAAGAGGAAAAGGCGCAGTGGCCAGTCTATTATGCAAGCAAGTGTTTATCGGATGCCGAGATGCGGTATCCAGAAATTGAGCGACTAGCCTTTGCTCTGCTGATCGCGTCCAGAAAGCTGCAACCTTACTTCCATGCCCATACAATTAACGTAATGACTAACTACCCCCTTAGGCAGGTCCTCCAGAAACCAGAAGCCTCGGGTAAGCTGCTTAAATGGGCCATGAAACTGAGCCAATTCGACCTGAAGTACAAGCCCAGATCAACCATAAAAGGGCAAGCTGTTGCAGACTTCATCTCGGAATTTTCCTATCTCCCGAGCGAGCAACAGCCTAGCGA